GTTAATAGCATTAATTATCTTCATTAACATTACGTCATCATGACAAATGTGCGTTTGTGTTTCGGTTTAATGTAGCCAGTGCATTGTAGCTATGTACTGGCTCTTTACAGTTTACATAAAAATGCTAAATAATGATAAGTCGATGTTAGGAATTGTCAGAAAGCAGAATGTACTCTGTACTGATCATTTCACACTGCCTCTCTGTAGCAGTTTCACTCTCAGTTGCCAGTTTCAATTAATCATCTCTTTCAGCCTCCTACAAGCTCACTGAGAATAGTTTTGCATCTTCTGCACACACACACACACACACACACACATCCATTTACACACACTGTTGTGCTCGGAATTATATTAGCATTTTTGGAGATGAAGATCATACGTAGTTCTGCTGGCATGCACATGTGTGAGACTCATCACACTGAGTCAAGAAAGGCTTGCTAATGAGCTGTTTAGTTAGATCAGGTGTGTTAGAACATGGAAAACCACAAAGTATGGGGATAGGGGGTGGGGTGGTATAAAACAGAGTGGTTATTGGCGCGGCCAATAAGAGAGCCATTATCTGGAGCCCCAGACAGGAAGCATTTGGCCAGTTTTTCTATCAGGCAGCAGCTGAACTCCCCAGTATGCCAACAGAGGCGTCCTTCAGGTCAGGATGAGACATGTGCTGAGTTCAGAATGAGGCTTGAGAAGATCAGCAGGAAGAAGACAAATCAGAATAGGGTAAGCTCTTTAGACTTAAACTAACAAAAATATAATCAGACTCCAAGTCTGCATAACCACTAAAAGTATTTTAAATTCAACCATAAAAGTAGGTGATAAAGGAAGTGATACTGCTGAATTGTTCTGAGTGGATCTACTAAAGAATACCCTGAGCTGTAGTAATGATGCTTCACCCTTAAATCACCCTTTCATCAATGTCAATATTTTACATGATTTTAGCTTCTTTGCATATAAACAAGTCCACTGCACTGGATTAGGGCCAAGCACGTTGATCCATCTGCTCTAGATCTGCACAGAGGAGCCAGCCTGGTGCATTTTTGCACAACAGCTGAAAACCAGAACTGATCCATTTTATAGATCTGCATCAAAACCTATTTAGAAGTGGGCCAACTTGGAATATTGATACATCTGACCCTAATGTAGCACAGACCCTGTTCAGAAACTCGGCAGTGAAACTAAATGGTCAGAAATTGTAGTTTATTAAACGTAATTAGGACTACTGTCACCACAGCATTATCACAACACTGATTGCATCTCTTGCCGGAATGAAAACCATCTCTTGCGATGCATGAGGAGTAATGAGTGAAGATTTTACATACACCTCGGCTAAAGATCTCAGTCCACACATTTCATGTTACCATACATTTCTTTTGGCAAGTCAGTTAGGGCCTCTACTTTGCTCACATCAGATTTTAAAAATGTATTTTAAAACAATTGAATAGAGACGTTTATTTCAGCTTTAAGTCACTATATCATAATTCCAGTGTGTCAAAGGTTTACATACACCAAACTGATTGTCTCTTTAAACAGTCTAGAAGATTCCAGCACTTTATGTAATCACTTTAAGAAGCTTCTGATTGGCCAATTGTCATAAGAGTTAATTGGGAGTGCATCGATGGCTGTATTTAGAGCCAGTGCCTTTTCGTCCTTGATAACATGGGAAAATTCAAACAACTCAACCAAGATCTCAGTAAAAAAAAAATTATAAAACTTCACAAGTCTGGTTACCCCTTAGGAGCAATTACCAAACAGCTGAAGGTAGCACAAGCATCTGTACAAACACAGACACTACATTGTTCAGGAAGGAGGCACAAATTAACTCTCAGGGATGAAGGAACTTTGGTCTGAAAGGTTCCACTGAGCCCCAAGGCAACAACAAAGGAGCTGGTGAAGTAGTTGGAAGCATATGGACATTTACCATTAAGAGTCTTTAGGAGGAGTGTTCTCTGGTCAGATGAAACAAAAACTGAACTGTTTGGCCATAATGATCAGTGCTAAGTATGGAGGAAAAAAGGTGAGGCTTTTAATCCTAAGAACACCATCCCAACTGTGAAGGTGCTAGCATCATGTTTTGGGGGTGTTTTTGCTGGAAAAGGGACTGGTGCACCTCAGAAACTAGATGGCATCATGTGGAAGGAGGATTATCTAGAAATACTGAGGCAACACATTAAGACATCAGCGACAAAGTTAAAACTTGGTTGCAGATGGGTCTTCCAATAGGAGAATGATCCTAAGCATACCTCTCCAGCAGTAACAAAATGGTTTATAGACAACAAAGTGAAAGTATTGGAGTGGCCATCACAAAAGCCCTGACCTGAATCCCACAGAAAATATGTGGACTGACCTGAGCAAGCAAGTCGAAGCAAGGAGGCAAAGAAACCTGAGTTACACCAGTTCTGCCAGGACGAATTAGCAAAAATTACAGCAACGAATTGTGAGATGTTTGTGGAAGCCTACCGATTTGATTCATGATCAAGCAATTAAGAGACAATGCCACCAAATACTAACGCTTAAATAAACCTGTTTCTTAACTATTATTGTGAATTTACATCTTATCAGAATAAAGTAATTGACTTAACACAGCAAATGTTTGGTAACATGAAATGTGAGGAGTTGTGAAAAATTGAGTTTGAATATATTTATCCTAGGTGTATGTAAAACTTTGGCCTCAAATGTAACCGTTCATGATGTTCCACTTGTATCACTCCTCATGCATCACTGCAAGAGTTGTTTTTTTTTCTTTCCCACAGGAATCGGCTGCACATCAGACTGATCTGATGACTGACTCACTGATCATTTTGCAAATGAAGGATTTTGCATTTCCAGTGGCAATACATATAAAAAGCAATGGACATAGCATTAAGGACATCTCCATTTTCATTGTTAGTTGTTGCTACGGGAACAGTGAAGTGAGAGCTTAGGGAGAAAGAGCTCATCTACACTCTCTGAATTGTAGAACCCCATGGAATGAATGTCATGTTCTGAGAACATTACATTATCAACCATTTCAGATACTGACTGGTTTCACCTTCTACACAGCACTCAGAAGCACTCTGTTGCACAACTACTGAAGCGTATAACTATCTCTATTATTTCTAATTTAATTAATCATGTTACGACCGAATTACGTCCTAAAGGTGATAAAAGACAACAATTAGAAAATATACAACCAGTGTGCAGATTCTATCAGGAAGAGTAAACACTGGGCCACTGAAGTTTATCCTTGGTACTGTTGCCTCTGGCTTGCTAAATAGAGCTCTAACTATACAACATATGGCCAAAAGTTTGTGGACACTCGCCCATAACACTCATGTGCTTTTGAACATCCCATTTCAGATTTAGTCCCGATTTAGCTGTTATAATAACCTCCACTCTTCTGGGAAGGCTTTCCACTAGATTTTGGAATGTGGCTGTGGGGATTTGTGCTCATTCAGCCACAAGAGCATTACTGAGATCAGACACTGATGTTGAGTGAGGAGGCCTAATGCACAATCGGTGTTCCAGTTCATCCCAAAGGTGTTCAGTGGGGTTGAGGTCAGGGCTCTGTTCAGGTCATTCAAGTTCTTCCACTCCTACCTTGGCAAACTATGTCTTCATGGACCTTCTTTGTGCACAGGGGCATTGTCATGTTGGAACATGTTTGGGCTTGTCCCCTTAGTTCCAGTGAAGGGAAATTATAATGCTACAGCATACAAAATATAGATACACCCGTTCCTGGAATGCCCCAGAGTATGTTAAAGAACATACCCAAACAAAGAGTATTGGCAAAAACCAACGAACTAGTCCAGGACAAAGTACTGGAAAAGTATCAATCTGGGTTATCAGAGCACCATTAAATGCAAAAAAAAACCAACCTCTGCCTAGAAGAAGCTGTCCACCAATAGGTCTGTGACTAGGCACTAAACAAGAGCAGTAAACAAGATGCCAAGGCTCTGAAGTAGCTTGAGAGATCCACAGCTCAGATTTGGAGAAGCTGGTCAGGTAAGAGCTTAATTAGATGAATTAATTATTCCAATTAATTGAATTGATTAATTAACAAGAATTAATTATTGCAGTGCATTGATTCACAGGGCTCCAATTTGAAAACTAGCAGTTGCAAACTGTGAACACAAAACATAACTTGTGCATATTGGGATACTGAGAAGACAATTTATTTTCTCATTACCTCATTAAGCTGACTCATGTGCACTAAGTACAAAACATTACAAAACTTTTCATGGCCCCTCCGGGGTTCAGATATTCAGCAACATGTATACTTGTGTCCATAAAGTTTCTGAAAGAGATACTGCATGTCATTTCAAAATAGTTACTAAATATCGTTAATCCATCCCTATACCTACGGTATATAGCTAAAGCACTGACAAAAAGCAGTATTCAGGCCACCTCAAATCAAATCAAATCGAATTTTATCGGTCACACACAACCATATACAGTACAACATGCAGTGAAATAAATATATATATATATATATAATATATGAAAGATAGATGGTAAAAAAGAAATTAAGATCTCATGTAAACTGGCAAATTACAGGGCAATTAAAAACTTTAATTTCTAAAAGCAGCACAGTCTAGCCTCCAGAAAGACACACAGTCTCCAGAAAGTCACATTTGGATACACTGTATGATTTTTGGTTTTGATACATTTGTATGCACATAAATTGTGTGGGAGAGCAAACAGTGCCTGATAAATCCACCCATCTGTCAGAGGTCACATTTCTGATGTCAGGTACTTTAATTAAACATTGTGTAGTATGAGCAGTATAATGATCTGACATACATAACAGAAGCCTAGTTATCACCATCACTTAAAGTCTTTGCTATCATCAGTGTGGTGTGGTTGCTTAGTAACCATATTCACATACTCTAGGCTGCACACGCCAACTGACCTGCTTTTTTCATGAGTTTGAAACAAACAGCAAACTGGGTCACTGAGAAAAAGAAAGGTCCAGCATGTCGAATATAAAAAATCTTGTGTATTACTGCAGAAGAAAGAATGGGTCCCTGGAGGACTGGTGGTTAGGCCTTGGCGTTCTCACCGCCATGGCCCGGGTTCGATTCCTGGCCAAGGAACCGACCCCAGCCACTGGGGTTGAATATTACAGTGCACTCCCAGTGCCGGTCCCCAGCCTGGATAAAATTGGGGAGGGTTGCATTAGGAAGGGCATCCGGCGTTAAAAATTGTGCCAAATCAAATATGCAGACCAATGATCCGCTGTGGCAACCCCTAACAGGAGCAGCTAGAAGAACAACAACAACTGCAGTAGAAAAAAAGAGCGTGTTGAAAGCAATAAAGAATTTACTTGCTTACACTGAGGATCATTCAATGTGCACTGACTACTTGTTAACACTTTCAGACTAAGGTGTAACTTTGGATTTACATTTTACATTTACATTTACGGCATTTGGCAGATGGTCTTGCAATATGCACACCTGCGTCATGAGGCATTGTAGTATGTCAAGTCAAGTCAAGTCAAGAGGCTTTTATTGTCATTTCAACTATATATAGCTGACGCAGTACACAGTGAAATGAGACAACGTTTCTCCAGAACCCTTGGTGCTACATAAAACAACATCGTCACCTCACACAACATACAGTTACAGAACACAGAGCTGAGGACTAGACTAAGTTGTCCTAGCCACATAAAGTGCATAGTGTGCAACCTGGTGCAAACAGTGCAAAACAAAACAGTGCAGAACAGACAACACGAGACAAGTACTGTACAGGACAAGATCACAAAATAGCAGCAACCCGTAACCTACTGTATATATATCTATATACAGTGCAATGTGCAAATTTACAAGTATTAAAGTGGCAGTGCCAAGTGATGTGCAAAAAGAACCGAGCAGAGCAGCAGTAGTAGTGGTGGAATGTACCATGTAAACAGTAGTATTAACTTAGTGAGTTACGTTGAATGAGTGTGTGTGTGTGTGTGTGTGTGTGTGTGAGAGAGAGAGTTTAGTTCCAGTTCAGCTGTGTGTTGAGAAGCCTGATGGCTTGAGGGAAAAAACTATTGCACAGTCTGGTTGTGAGAGCCCGAATGCTTCGGAACCTCTTCCCTGATGGCAGTAGGGTAAAGAGTGTGTGTGAGGGGTGTGTGGGGTCGTCCACAATGCTGTTGGCCTTTCGGATGCAGTGTGTGGTGTAAATGTCCGTGACAGAGGGAAGAGGGA